TAAACGGCGTTCCGTGTGCTGCGCTGGCTTGCCAGATGCAGCTTTGTCACACTGGCCACGTGACCCGGAAGTGTCTGCGGACAGCGCTGGCCCCCGGCCTCTTGAGTGAGATGGGCGCACAACCCTAGAGTCTGTCAAGACTGCCCGTATGGGCAGGGGTACCTTTACCTTTACCTTACACCTGACGCACAACAAAATCATAGAACCCTGGGCGTTTTCACTTTATACCGCGGGTAGAGGAACCTAAATACACATGTGAAGCTTCCTACATTCAATAAATCATTATATCAGAGATAGAGCTATCCTAAACCTCTCTCCCTCGTGTGCTATCTTATTGGATGCAAGCAGTTTCTACGTGGGAGATCATTCAAACAGCATGTCAGAAAACTAAGACAGACCAAAACACCACAAGAAATGTTGTGCTGCACCAGCCATATTCTGCATTTAATTCTTTATTAAAGAAAATCAGTGAGCTCTCAGCTAACCCTGTTCCTCCTCACAGTAACACCCTTCTTTTTCACTTATAGAAAGGGGGCCAACTGCCCACTTTTACAATGAATAAGCTGTACTGTAGGATGATAGTACCATTTCACTCCACTGTCTATTTTTCACTCATCTACCTGCCACCCAACCTGTTGCACTTGCTCAGACATATCTGCATAATTGCCTACAATCCCTAAAGTGATGCTATTGTTAAATGCAGACTTTACCTGCTATACAAAATACAAAGAGAACTCTTCAAAATGGTATGATTCCCAACACATTTCAAAAAAATGCTTTATCACAGGGAAAGTGTCTACACTGCTTAATGCAAGGTGATCCTGAAATAACATTTTTGCATTTGCTTTGGGGTGCCGCAACGCAACAGTTTGTTCCAAGCAATTTTTTATTAAGAAATGTAGGCATTTCCTTCCATTATAAAAAAGAGTTTTCTAAACGCCCTGGGAATCGCACTAACTTGCACAGCTATCTTGTGTGACTGTTGCCTTTCGTGAAACCGACTTTCTGTCTTTGTGTCTTTACAATCTGAAAAGAAGTTATGAACGAAACAGTAAACGAACATTTTATCACAATTTGGGTGAAAATCGGAGCAAGTGACCAGGTATAGACGCTTTGGGGGAGGCTTGCAAATCTCCAGGGTGCCACCTGCCCATTCTAGTTCCGAAGTGTATATTCACAGTTCTGGTGGAGCAATCAGTCAGGCATATGGAAATTCAATAATAACCTGCATGAATTGAAAGGGCATCACAAGCTACACCCAACACACACCTGTGGCTTTGCACTGTAAGATAAGATCAGTAGTGCAGGGAGAGACAGTTCACCATTAAGAATCTTCCCATCAATGAATCCCTCATACACTCACAGATAACCCCTGAGTTCCCTGGAAGCCACTGAATCATGAAACCGACATTTCCCAATTTATGTTTGTTTCTGTAGTAGAGCCTGGTTTCTCAGAACAGGACTGAAGCTTCTAACAGAATTGCTATGCAACTTTTCCAGGAAGAGCAAACCAAAGGGAAAAGGGACCCAAAAGCTGGACAAATACCTACAAAATAAGTCTAAATATTCTAAAGGCTTAACATATGACTATCATGAGAACTAGCGTGTGACTGTGGTATAAAGGCACGCTTTCCTTTCTGTGAATCAGAAAGGCATATACAGTTATGTCTTTAAGTATACATTAGAAGGACATCTCAGTTTTTAGTGTCCTAGTTAAAAATCAAAGACAAAAGAGCAAGAACTTCAATGTCAGATTAGAAATCCGACACCACTCTTATTTATTCACTTCTGCTTTAGTCCAGTCCAATTCGGATCGGGAAACATACCTATTATCAACAAAAGCAAAACTGACTTTCAAAACTGCAAACTGCCCAACTTATGAAACATAAATCACCCCCCAGCAGAGAGATAGTCACATGAATGAAGTGTCTTCTACAGACACTGCATATGTGTGTTCAAAAGCACTTCTGGAGGCATATCCCTGACTGCACTGAAATGCTCACTGGATCCTCGTCGAACAGGTTTGATCTATTTTGACACAAATGAGAATGAGAACCTGCATCTGGTCACATGAAGCTAAAGAGATCCCACGTTGCCTTTGCCTACAACTCGACCAGAAGCAATGCTTCTGCTGTGCGAAGGGCAAAATACATGGTTTGCGCTAGAATGCTTGCAAAGTGGCACCAGCCGTCTTCAACATCATTAATAGTTAACTGACACTTCTCCTGCTTAAGAGTCCAAGACGCTTGGCTCAGTGCACTTTTACAGGGCTATCTTCACAAATCTATGCCCAAACACACAAGCAGGCAACCTGACCAGCAGCGCAGAATACACCGTAGAGTTTATCCAGATATTTAAACTTGTTCCAACCACATATTATCCTTTGCCGGGTTGTTCTGTTCAAGCTGGCAGAAAGGTAACAGTACAGGTTCTCTTCCAGGTATAATGGAGGTGAAGATCACCTTTGTCATTATTTTTTTTCAAAAAAGCAGCAGGAGAGGACAGGAGGAAAGAGGCAGATGTGTCACTACTGGAAAGAAAGAGAAGAGTGTCTTTAAAAACTTAATAAAAAAGAAGCATTCGTGAACCAGCGAAAGATGCCAACCTTGCTTGCGTACTTTTTAGTGGAGGGCATTGCCATATTTAAGTAGCGAGAGCCAAGCCTTTAAAATGCAAATTTTTTAACTTCAAAACTGGCAGAACATGGTACAGCAGGGAGAAGAGTTGTATCATGAGTCACTTATGATGTCACAGTCATCCAGAAGGAAATTGCAATGCAAACATGCCTCACAGCATTCGCTATCAAAACCAACACGCTTGTGGGAAGAAACAAAACATCCAGTTTCCCCCAACATGAATAAAAGCACTTCAGGAAACTATGACATCTCTGCAACCTAACCACTACCTTCAGGGAAGAAGTCTGCAGCTAACCATCTTGTATATACATTTACACAGGGACAAACACAAAACTGAGTTAATTATTCAGGACACCTCCAATTCAGAGAGAGCTAGGTTCACAGTTGCTACTACCAACGCTGAAACAGAAACAGCAATGCTACGGGGTCACACAGATACTGTATAACATGGGACGGCAAACTAAGGCCTGCGGGCCGGATCAGGCCCAATTGCCTTCTGGATACGGCCCGCGGACGGCCAGCACGTGTGCGTTCTTTCCCTCTCCTTCACACAGTGGTGGAGGCAGCGCCTCCTCCCTCCCTCCTCCTGGCTTCTCCCTGCCCTGCCTAGAGGAGGAAGGGGGCTGGACTTTGTTGACACCAGCAGCAGTAGCGTTTGAGCGGTTGCCATTTAAAGCAGCCCCTCTCCGGAGCCCTTCGTCCTGCCACCGCTAGTCCCTGCTGCTCACAAAGACATAGGTAAGCAGCCACCGGGACTCGTGGTACTCTTGAGTCATCCCCCCCCAAAAAAATTATAGTCTGGCCCCCCACAAGGTCTGAGGGACAGTGGACCAGCCCCCTGCTTAAAAAGTTTGCTGACCCCTGCTGTATAATGTGCTCTCTGTCACCACAAACGTAAGAGGAAGGGTTTACAGGCAGCTTTTGCCCCTCTATAGGTGTAGAAGAAGAGTTTGGATTTGATATCCCGCTTTATCACTACCCAAAGGAGTCTCAAAGCGGCTAACATTCTCCTTTCCCTTCCTCCCCCACAACAAACACTCTGTGAGGTGAGTGAGGCTGAGAGACTTCAGAGAAGTGTGACGAGCCCAAGGTCACCCAACAGCTGCATGTGGAGGAGCGAACCCAGTTCACCAGATTACGAGTCCACCGCTCTTAACCACTACACCACAAACACACGCATCTGACATATGTGTCAAAGTTACTCGTATGCTTTACGTACTATACGCATTTGGGTATGGAAGTCCCAATAAGCAGAAGTTTCCAGACGTGTAGACATGACACTTATCCTGTGTGCATATTGCATTGAAGCTTCTGAATGTTGTATCTTCCAAACCCAAACACATCACTTGTACATGGAGACTTGTAAATAAAGGTAGCTCCAAATTGCTCCAGTGATGTTCTATGTTAGCTAAGCTAAACCAACCCCAGTATCTAAGGCCCTCTCTTCACTTTACCCACAACCATTCAACGGGGGTGGGGGATCTACCGCATAACTATCCTAGTTGGTATGATTCAGTCTGTCTTCAACAGCAACATGAAGCACACAAATAGCCAAGTTTCCCCCAGTGTTTAGCTCCATGCAGCAAAAGCTTCGCCAGGTACAGATCTTGTCAAACAGCTCCTGGAGACAGAGGAGTCCTGGCCAGAGAAAAGAAGTTGGCAAACCTTTATGGAGCTCTGTAAAACAGTAACAGCTCCTTAATAATGGAAATAGGAAGGCAAATTCCAGAAGAGAATTAAGCTGTTATAATTAAGTTGTAATACGTTGACACCAAACAACTGGTAGAAAATTGCCACCTTCCTTACTGGGCCCTGATCCTAGCCAGATGAGACTCTGCCCACCATTTTATGTGCCTGCTGGGAAGAGTATCGGCCACTGAACATTGGAGCTTTTGTGAGTGGCGCTTACCAGCCCTACCTTCCTGCACCTGAAAGACCCTCCTTCCCTTTTACTTTCCATTCCTGCCAAACTTTAGATTCGCAGCCTGCTGGGAGGGCCTGTTTCGTTCTCCATTGCTGTACAGTGCCTGATTTTAGTATTATAATTATTAAAAAGAAGAAACAGGAAGAGAATGGTAACAAAGCAGGTGTGGGAGTTGACTTACTTCTTAAACTATTGATTTTATTGTTTGTTTTTCACCGATTTCCTGCCTTAGCTTGGGTAAGGCGTTCACTGCAATTAATAAAATGAGGAGTGGGAGGGAGAGAGACGAGGAAGAGGCTGTTGAAGGGGGAAAGGGGTGGAGGGAAAGGGGGTGCCGAGAAAGCACCTGGGGGTCACCACCTCACTCTGCCCCCCCAGCCCCCGAGATCGCCCCCCTGCGCCCCCGAAGGGCCCCCCCCCGCCCCGCCTCGCCCGCCCACCTTCGGCGATGACCTTCTTGATCCGCAGCTTCATCTCGCCCATCTCCACCACCTGCCCCACGAAGTCGTTCTGGTCCCGGCTGGCGGCCCCCAGGGAGCCGGGCCCCGCCAGGAACTCCAGCGCCGACTGAAGCAGCGACATGGCCAACTCCGCCCGGCGCAGCAGCAGCAGCAGCCGGGGACTGGCGCTCCCAGGACCAAGCAGATCGCCAGGCCGGTTCCTTCGGCCGCTCCCGCTCCTGCCGCTTCACGAGCGCCAATCCTGACCCTCCGCGGCCACCGTACTCCCCGCCGCCCCCGCCTCCCTCCTCTCCCTCAGCCCATTGCCGAAACCCGTTTCCGCTAACGACGCTCGTCGGAGGAGGAGGAGGAGGGGCGAACGCGCTCGCCCCGCCTACATTCGCCTCCTAGCTCCGCCCCGCAGCTCCAGGGGAGCTTTCCCCTCCTCCGCGCGTGGGCAGGGGTTATAGAGAGAGAAAGTCGAAGAGCGGTCGGCGCGCTACCTGATTCCGGGCACCGAGTTGAAAGCAGCACCAACGGGGGCCGCATCGCCGTTTGCCAGGGCTCCTCGGGGGCCAAGCGAGCCTCACACAGGGCCGGCCCAAGACTTTTCTTTTTTAATAATTTTAATAAAGAATTTTAATAAGAAGGCTGATCGCCGAAGAATGGATGCTTTTGAATTCTGGTGCTGGAGGAGACTCTTGAGAGTCCCATGGACTGCAAGAAGATCAAACCTATCCATTCTTAAGGAAATCAGCCCTGAGTGCTCACTGGAAGGACAGATCCTGAAGCTGAGACTCCAATACTTTGGCCACCTCGTAAGAAGGGAAGACTCCCTGGAAAAGACCCTGATGTTGGGAAGATGGAGGGCACAAGGAGAAGGGGACGACAGAGGACAAGATGGTTGGACAGTGTTCTCGAAGCTACCAGCATGAGTTTGACCAAACTGCAGGGGGGCAGTGGAAGACAGAAGTTCCTGGCGTGCTCTGGTCCATGGGGTCACGAAGAGTTGGACATGACTAAACGACTAAACAACAGCAACATTAAACACTTTCAACATACCAAATCAAAAATCCAAATAATCAATTGCTTTATTTCCCCCCATCCCTCCCTCTCCACCCCCAACAAGGACTTCCCTCAGCTCCCCTCTCTGATTTCTTTGCACATATTGTTCTCTGCATGTTATAAAATTGTACATATCATTGCCTCATCTGTCATGTGTTCAACTAATAAATTTGTGGATGTTTATTCAAGGAGTTCCACGGTCCAAGACTTTTCGGCACCAGAGGCGAACCGCAAAATGATGGCCTGCCCTCCCCACCAGGAAAGAAGGGGGAGCGAAGATCTAAAACAGGAAGGGGGGGCAGGGATAAAAGCTCTGCATTGGGATCTGCCAGTACTATGGAACCTGCTGCCTGAGGCGGTTGTCTCACCTTGCCTCCTGGGTGGGAGGGCCCTGTGCCCAATATACAGTGGTACCTCTGTTTGCAAATGGGATTTGTTCTGGAGGCCCGTTTGCAACATGAAAAGAGTGCAACCCACAGCTGCGCGTCTGCGCATGTTGCGATTCGGCACTTCTGCGCATGTGTGTGACGTCATTTTGTGCTTCTGCGCATACACGAGCGGCAAAACCCGGAAGTAACCCTTTCCGGTACTTCTGGGTCACCGCAGGATGTAACCTGAAAGAACGTAACATGAAGGAAACATAACATGAGGTAAAAAGGTAAAGGGACCCCTGACCATTAGGTCCAGTCGTGACCGACTCTGGGGTTGCGGCGCTCATCTTGCTTTATTGGCCGAGGGAGCCAACGTTTGTCCACAGACAGCTTCCAGGTCATGTGGCCAGCATGACTCTGGCGAACCAGAGCAGCACACGGAAACACAGTTTACCTTCCCGGCGGAAGCACTTTGATGTGCTTTCGAACTGCTAGGTTGGCAGGAGCAGGGACTGAGCAACGGGAGCTCACTCTGTTGCAGGGATTCGAACCGCCGACCTTCTGATCGGCAAGTCCTAGGTTCTGTGGTTTAACCCACAGCACCACCCGCGTGCCCCTATAACATGAGGTATGACTGTATAATTTTGCATTGGAAATTGATAGTGGAAAAGAATAGGAGATATGCCACTGGTTTGACTTGGGAACCTCAGTTTGACCTGTTCACAGGGCGATCCTTGCATGCACACTAATGGGAGAGGAACACTGCAATCCCAATGATCGTAGAATTGGAGAGTTGCATAGGCGCCGACTCCATGGGGCCTGAGGGGGCCCGAGCCCCCTCAAAAATTCGTTTGGGGGGGGCTCTGCCCCCCCAATAATTTAAGAAAATTTGGGGGGGCGCGAGTCCAGAGGGCCCAGCCGCATCGTGCCCTCGGCCCGCCCCTATTGTCAGAGGCTCAGCGCGGAAGTGTTAGCAAAGTTTCAGAGGGGGGAGCGAGTGGGGGGGGATGCGGGGAGGGGAGGGGGTCCCCGCTTCTTCGGCCGCCTTGCAGGGGTGGGCTATAGACAGGGGCGCCGACTTATAAAAAATATTGGGGGGGCCCATGCTGGTCAAGGAAGGCTCCCCTCCTCCAAAGCAGATCCGATCCAGGGGGGGGGCGCGGAGAGACAATGCCAAAACTCAGGGGGCTCCTTGAGCCAATTGCCAGAGATGAGCCCCGCAGGGGGAGGCAGGGTCCTCTATAGCCCACCCCAGCTGCCCTTCTTGTATCTACAGCCAGTTTGGCAGGGGGCGGTGGAAGGGTCTGGAAGGAGCGGGGACCACCGCGGAGCACACATACCGGGAGCTGGAGAGGCGAGGCCCAGCCGAGAAGGGGCCAGCCTGGAAGGCGCAGCTTCACAGCCGAAGCTGTCCTCGGCTTGGGGAGCCGGAGAAGCTGTCGGGTCAGGGCCCTGGCGCAGGCCTAGCCGCTCCCGCGCCGCCTCTTTGCTCCCGGGATCGGGGCCGCCAGCTCAGCGCTGGAGCCGAGGGAGCCCCCAGGCAGGCCTGCGAGCAAAGGCAGAGCCGCCGGGCGGTGGCCGCTTCTGCAAGGTGGCCGAAGAAGCGGGGACCCCCTCCCCTCCCCGCGTCCCCCCCCACTCGCTCCCCCCTCTGAAACTTTGCTAACACTTCCGCGCTGAGCCTCTGACAATAGGGGCGGGCCGAGGGCACGACGCGGCTGGGCCCTCTGGACTCGCGCCCCCCCAAATTTTCTTAAATTATTGGGGGGCGGAGCCCCCCCAAACGAATTTTTGAGGGGGCTCGGGCCCCCTCAGGCCCCATGGAGTCGGCGCCTATGGCTATAGAGGACCCTGCCTCCCCCTGCGGGTCTCATCTCTGGCAATTGGCTCAAGGAGCCCCCTGAGTTTTGGCATTGTCTCTCCGCGCCCCCCCCCCCCCTGGATCGGATCTGCTTTGGAGGAGGGGAGCCTTCCTTGACCAGCATGGGCCCCCCCAATATTTTTTATAAGTCGGCGCCCCTGGAGAGTTGGATGGGACCCCGAGGGTCATCTAATCACATGCAGTGCAGGAATCTCTATTAAAGCATCCCTGACAGATGGCTATCCAACTTCTGTTTTCAAACTTCCAAGGAAAGAGAATATGCCACTTCTTGTGGAAGATTGTTCCACAGATATTACTCTCAGAAAGTGCTTCCTGATGTTTGAGACTCCTTTCTTGTAACTTGAAGCCACTGGCTCAGGTCCTAGCCTCTGGAGCAGAAGAAAACAAGTTTCTTCCATGTGACAGCTCTTTAGATATTTGAAGATGGCTATCATACCTCCTCTCAGTATCCTCTTTTCCAGGCTAAACATACCCAGCTCTTTAAACCGTTCCTCATCAGGTTTCCAGACCCATGATCGGCTTGGTCACCCTCCACTGTACACATTCCAACTTGTTAATATCCTTCTCAAATTGTGGCACCCAGAATTGGACACAGTAATCCAGGTGTGGTCTGGCTAAGGAGAAATAGAGCAGGATCCTTGATCTGAACACTATACAGTGGTACCTCGGGTTAAGTACTTAATTCGTTCCAGAGGTCTGTTCTTAACCTGAAACTGTTCTTAATCTGAAGCACCACTTTAGCTAAAGGGGCCTCCTGCTGCTGCTGCGCCACTGGAGCACAATTTCTGCTCTCATCCTGAAGCAAATTTCTTAACCTGAAGCACTATTTCTGCGTTAGCAGAGTCTGTAACCTGAAGCGTATGTAACCTGAAGCGTATGTAACCCGAGGTACCACTGTACTTCTATTGATGCAGTCTAAAACAGCATTTACTTTTTTTTTGCTGCTGTATCACACTGTGGACTCATGCAAAGCTTGTGGTATACTATACAATGAAATTCAGGGGGGATTCGAGGAAGTCAATTAACAATGAAAGTTAAATTAGGTTAGAATTAATAAGTGTTTTGATTTGTTTGTTTTTTGTTTTTCTCTTTAGTATTGTAATGTGTTTTCTTTTTTGTATTTTGTATGTTATTTCTGTTGTAAATTTGGAAAATTAATTTTAAAAAATTGGGGGGGAAAGCTTGTGGTATACTAAGACTCCGGCGCTAGATCACTTTCATATGTACTACTGGCAAGCCAGGTGTTGTATTACGCCGGGGTTGCATTACAATAAAAGTCGTCCCCTCTGTCCACGAAGTTGTCATTCTTGATTTTCGAGTCTATGGTCCCTATGTCACGAAAAGCGCCTCTTCCGCCAGAACGCAAGCCGGCTTCTGGCGCCCTAGCCACGCCCATCGCCACGCCTCCTTCCAGAGTTCGAATTAGCTTCCTATCTGTGCTGCCGGCTTGCTCTGGTATTTGCCGCGCCCACGCTTGGTGTATCCTGTAGCTCTTGCTGCAACCGATGACGAAGTGCTGCAATTCTGATGATGCAATCGCATATACTCAGAGCATGGGGAGGCAAACTAAGGGCCGGGGGCCGGATCCAGCCCAATCGCCTTCTAATTCCGGCCCGCGGACGGTCCAGGAATCATCGTGTTTTTACATGAATAGAATGTGTACTTTTATTTAAAATGCATCTCTGGGTTATTTGTGGGGCATAGGAATTCATATTTTTTTCCAAAATATAGTCCGGCCCCCCACAAGGTCTGAGGGACAGTGGACCGGCCCCCTGCTGAAAAAGTTTGCTGACCCCTGTACTCAGAGGGCTTCTGTAATATTCAAGGACCCGTCATAAGCTTCCTTACCTGCAGACCACTACTATGCTTGCTTTTCGCGGAAGTCCTATTGATTTCAGTAGGCTTACACTCCCAGTAAGCATGCATAGGATAGCAGTTCTAAGAATAGCTTCGCTGGTTTGGATGAATTGCCCCGTCTATTTCATC